TCGCATGAGGGCCAGCGAGTGCCACGCGCTCGGAAGAAGCGGTCGCGTACAGATCGGAAGCTAGTACTCGGAGAGCGAAGCATGGAGTCAATTTCAGACTGGAGCTAATGCGGTAAATGTTCGAGTGACATACGGCAGGGGTCGAGCTTGGCGTGCACTGCGCTTTCTGGATGATGTAGTCTCATCGATAAGGGCAGATCAGACGACGTCCCACCCACGAGCCAAGAACGCTAAGAAGGCGACGGCGAATGACCGCCAACCTTGCGCGACACCGCCCCGAATGCTCCGGCCCGAAATGCTTGCGATGGAAGATCATCGAGGAGGACCGCCTGGCCTCCGAAAGCGGCGAGCACACATAGCGATCAGCACGCAGATCGGGAGGAAGAGAGAGCCCAGGACAGCATCTGCCGTCTTGGGGACCCGTTCACTGAGCCGTCGCTCCACACGGCGGCAAACTGGATGCTGCATGCTTATATTATGATGCGTATGCCATCCTCCTCTTCCTCCTCTTCCTCCACCTCGTCCTCCTCGTCCTCCTCCTCCTCCTCCTCCTCCGCCTCCTCCTCCTCCTTCTCCGCCTCCGCCTCCGCCTCTGCCTCCGCCGCCGCCTCCGCCTCCGACCGCGGGATGGCTGACTACTCCGACCAGTTCTTCACGGACGTCCAGTTCACGATAAAGATGTACTACAAGTGCAATTAAAACAAGACCTGGGACAACCCAGGAAGGTGCAGGTCCGTAATCCGCGCGGACCTCTGCACACAGCTTCTCTCCCTTGAAGCGGGTGCGGGGGGACGAAGTGACCAGCGGCGGCACTGCCACTGCGGAGCTCGGTACACCACGAACTTTGGCGCGTGCGTCGAAATGATTGGCCATGCAGCCAAGCCACCGAAGGCGTAGCACCTAGAGGCCAAACTCCCCGAGGACATCCTGGATCTGAAGACCCTGCTGCGGGCGGACAAGCTCAAGAAGGACGGCACCACGGTGATCAATCCCGCAGACGCGTTGCAGCACCTTCCGCAGGTAGAGCCCTTGGCAGTGGGCACAGTGTTCAAGAAATGCTCGGAACAGAAGCAATGAGAGGGCCATTGGGCATTGATGAAGGACATGTCGTGGGAAAGGTACCAGAGTTTAACCGGTGTGACATATACTCGCAGATACCATGGGGCTCAATGACCTGATTCGACGGGCTACAGCAAGAAGACCAGGAACAGGATGAAGCGCGAGAAGCTCGAAGAGGCGAGAGTGGCGATACTGAACTACGAGCAGCGCCACACGCTGGACGTCGGCAGCCTTGCCAGCGGGAGGAGTACAGGGGCAGCCTCGAGTGCTCCCCCCGCTGGCGGGCGGCAGGCGGGCCAGGGGACGAGTGGCGCAGGAGCGGTGGACCCACCGCCGCCGCCACCTGTACCCGCGGCGCTGACCAACGTGGAGGTGCCGCCGCCGCCCGTGGGTCCACCGCCAGACGTCGAGTCCCAGCTGTTTGGCCCCGCGGCGGAGGGCAGCATGTGGGGTGGGGAGATTCGCGCGCTCCCGTCCGAGGTTTTTGAGTGCTGAGTAGCTGGGTGGCTCGGAGGCCCCAGGACTCCAGGGCGTCAAGGCCAGAATGAGCGTATGAACGAATGAGTGAGTGAGAGGTTGCACGCCTGCTCTGACACGGCGCGCTGCATCAGTGCCGCGCCAACTGTAATAATTGCCAGGGCGCTCCAACCTGTGGCTGTCTGAAGCTCCACCGTGGCGTCTCGTGTGTACCCTAGGCTACCTCGTAGCACTAGGGCCGCCCCGTGGGCTGCGGGCCGTGCGTTGCGTCGCCGTGCAGCCCTCGGTACCCCAACTAAGTGGCCAGCCATTTGGGCTTGCCCTACCTGGTGTTTCGCTGTAGGCCCGTGCCACATAGGGCATCCCGCGCTTCAGGGGTCGGGCGGTACTGGGGTAGCCCCGTGTGCTGCACTACCTGTGATGTGTTGGGTCTGGCCCGTCTCGATTCGCCCTGGCGGTCGCGCCTGGAGAGAATGGTACTGGGGTAGCCCCGTGTGCCATTGGTCCTGTGGCTGTTTTGGGCCAGGCGCGTCTTGATGGGCCGAGGCCGCGGCACTACAGCTTCGTCAATCAGCGGCGTGTGCCCCGCCTTCTTCGCAACCTACTGGGCGCGTGTCTCGTTTAGGGTAATGAGGCAGCCACAGGACCCTCGCCCCAACGTGGTCGGGCCGTGGTGATGCGGTGCACGTGACCGCAAGTAGTAGTAGAAGTCATCGTAGAAGTCGTAGTAGTCGTCGTCGTCGTCGTAGTAGTAGTAGTAGTAGTAGTAGTAGTAGTAGTCGTAGTAGTAGCAGCAGTAGTAGTAGTCGTAGTCGTAGTCGTAGTCGTAGTCGTAGTCGTAGTAGTAGTAGTAGTAGTAGTAGTAGTAGTAGTAGTAGTAGTAGTAGTAGTAGTAGTAGTAGTAGTAGTAGTCGTAGTAGTAGTAGTAGTAGTAGTAGTAGTAGTAGTAGTAGTAGTAGTAGTAGTAGTAGTAGTAGTAGTAGTAGTAGTAGTAGTAGTAGTAGTAGTAGTAGTAGTAGTAGTAGTAGTAGTAGTAGTAGTAGTAGTAGTAGTAGTAGTAGTAGTAGTAGTAGTAGTAGCAGTAGTAGTAGTAGTAGTAGTAGTAGTAGTAGTAGTAGTAGTAGTAGTAGTAGTAGTAGTAGTAGTAGTAGTAGTAGTAGTAGTAGTAGTAGTAGTAGTAGTAGTAGTAGTAGTAGTAGTAGTAGTAGTAGTAGTAGTAGTAGTAGTAGTCGTAGTCGTAGTAGTAGTAGTAGTAGTAGTAGTAGTAGTAGTAGTAGTAATGTTCGCAGTCGTCGCAGCATGCTGTTTATTAGTCGTATCGCTATGATTGGTAGTAGTGTTGTTAGTAGTAGTGTTAGCCACGTTATTAGTAGTATGCATATTCCTATTGGCATGGGTCATATTAATATAATGGTTCGGCTTATTCGTGGTCCCAGTACTCTTTCTTAGCATTCGTAATACGATGTACCGTATCAGCGCTCGTTTCTTAGTAGTAAAGTTCGTGCTCTGTTTCTTCATAATATGAACCGTCGTGTTAGTATCATTGCTCTTCCTCTTCTTCGTATTAGCATTCGCGCTAGTATTCTTAGTAATAGTCTTCCTAGTAATAGTATGTATGTGTTTGCTTCTGATTGCGAGTGCCAATACTAGCATTATGCATTGTGAATGTTAACATTCGTATCCTTCTCCTCTTGCTCCTCCGCCTCCCCCTCCTCCTCCTCCGCCTACGCCCCCGCTTCCGCCACCGCCTCCGCCTCCGCCTCCTCTTCCTCCGCCTCCTCCTCCGCCTCCTCCGTCTCCGCCTCCGCCTCCTCCTCCTCCGCCTGCACCTGCGCCTGCGCCTGCTCCTCCGCCTCCGCCACCGCCTCCGCCTCTTCTCCGCCTCCGCCTCCGCCTCCGCCTCATTCTCCGCCTCCGCCTCCACCTCCGCCTCCGCCTCCGCCTCCGCCTCCGCCTTCGCCTCCACCTCCTCGTCCTCCTCCTCCTCCTCCTCCTCCTCCTCCTCCTCCCCCATCCTCCTCCCCCATCCTCCTCTCCCATCCTCCTCCCCCATCCTCCTTCCCCATCCTCCCCCCATCCTCCTCCCCCCTCCTCCTCCCCCATCCTCCTCCCCCATCCTCATCCTCCTCTTCCTCTTCCTCCTCCTCATTATCATTTTCATCCTCACCCTCATCCTCCTCTCCTCCTCCTCCTCCAACCCCTCCTCCTCTTCCTCCTCCTCCTCCTCCTCCTCCTCCTCCTCTTCCTCCTGCTTATCCTCCTCCTCCTCCTCCTCCTCCTCCTCCTCCTCCTCCTCCTCCTTCTTCACCCTCCTTTTTCAATTCCACCATTTCAATACTGCTCTCCCCCCTCCCCTGATGACGTCCAGAAGATCTCCGTCCCCCCTCCGAATTGGTTTTCGCTTGGGCTTTTGTTCAAAATGTTGCTCCCGCTGAAGCGCTGGCCTCATTTTTGGCCTTCCGCTCGTTCCGATTCGTGCTCCCGCTGCAGCGTTGGCCTCATTTCCGCGCTTCCGCTCGTTCCGATTCGTGCTCCCGCTGCAGCGTTGGCCTCATTTCCGCGCTTCCGCTCGTCCCGAATCGTGCTCCCGCTGCAGCGCTGGCGTCATTACTTCCAGCGCCATGCCACGGCATGGTTTTCGGTCCTTCCAGATAGGCCCCATCATCGAGAAAATGGCCTCCCGAAAAAAATAGCGGAAGTGATTACACATCCGGTGTCGATTATTTGATTTGTTGGGCCGCAGAAGCCCCCCCCACTTTGGCGCGTCGCCACGCCGTGCTATGTCATGTTACGCGTTGATCTTCAACACCATGCCATGCCATGTAATGCTACGCTATGCTACGACATCTGATTGTGCGAATAGAGAGGACATGTACGCCATGGAAAGGGATGGGAGGGAAGCGTAGGACGTCAGATATGATGCGAGCGCACCTAGCTTGCCCGCACCCCATCCCCCTCCTCCTTCCCCCTCCCCCTCCCCCTGATTCCTCCTCTTCGTCCTCCCCCTCCTCCTCCTCCTGCGCATCCCTCCTCCTCCTCCTCCTCCTCCTTCTCCTCCTCCTCCTCCTCCGCCTCCTCCTCCTTCTCCTCCTCCTCCTCCTCCTCCTCCTCCGATCCCTCCTCATCCTTCCCCTCTTGGGGTGTGACGGCTTCCCCAACCCGTTATTCCACTGCATTATCCTCCACATTCCTGATCAGGGCAACTCGCCTGGGCATCGTTTCTGGATGGGTTTGTGGAATCATAGGAAGCATCTAGAATCGTATTGCTGTGCCGATTTGGGCTCTTCGCAGACGTTGCGAATTGCCAAAAACGATTGTGCCTGCGCCGTGTGGCTGGCGCTGCGCTCACCCATAGGTAGGGATGTATGCTGTTCCCTTCGGGTTTCGCGGGGCCTACCCCACCTGTGGGGGTGGACTGGAGGGGCTGAGATACCAGGGATCGGTTCGGCGATGCTGACCCGAGCCTCCAGATGCGCGTCCCTCTGGCACAGCAGCAGCCGGCTGTCCTGGGCCACGGAGGCGACCTGGAAGACCGGGGAGAAGCCGCTGCACTCCTGCTAGCCGCCAGGGGGGGCTCAGGGCGACTGGGAAGCCTTCGGCCCTCTCCTTCGCCTCATCCTCCTGGTCTGCCGTAGGCCCGGACACTGTCCGCAACGGTGGTCGCATCGCATCGCATCGCATCCTCCCGCCTCCTCCTCCTCCTGCTCCTCCTTCTCCTCCCGCCTCCTCCCCACTCCCTCGCCTCCACCGCCTCCCCCCCTTTGGAGTTACGATGGTGACACGTACGCTCCTGGAGGGGCACTCATGGGGCTCTAGAGGCGCTTCCCCGCCCAAACGTCAGGGTACGTTTCTATGCAACAGCCAAAACAGTTCCTGGTTGGGCGTCGACTGCGTTGATGGCTGGCAGAGGCGCATAAGTGACATCTGAATTCGTCGTGGACTAACCTGACGGGTTTTCCCAAGGGTATGGGGCTGAGCTGAGGGGCGCTGTAAGCGAGGACGTCTCTACGCCCGTCAACTCAAAAGAAACCAGCTACCGTGTGGACGGAAAGCGAGCTCTGTAGTGATCGGGGTCGAGAGGAAACATCTTCACTTTGATATCTTCCCCGCCCGCCAGGGGGGGGGGGAAGGGGTGAAACCGGGGAGGGACCAGGGTGGGTAGGTGCCCCGTCGCCCCCCCCGCTTCCGAGTGGCTTCAACGATAGTGCGGCTCTGTGGCCTCCAAGATGACGCAAGATGGCCGAAGTTGACTCCAGATGGCCCCCAACATGCGTCCAAGAAGTCCCACGATGGCCCCAGGACGGCTGTACGTGGCCACAGCGCCTCCCTAGAAGCTCCAGCCGCCCCCAAGCAGCCCCCAAAAAAATCCCCAAGAAGTCCCCTGAGACCCCCAAGACGCCCCCCAGAGACCCCAAGAGGCCTCAGAGGCCCGAAGAAGCTTCAACAATGCCTCCAAGAAGCCAACGAGAGCCATCCACCCCAGGAAGCCTGTAAGAGACCTCGTGCCCACGACCCAGGCACGGTGCTCTGCCTTCTCCAGTCTCGAGGGGCTACTCAAGCCGTTCTGGGATGATCGTCGGCCTTGCTTCGCACGCTCCTCGCCTCCCCCGCAGCATTTTCAGGGCCTCCTGATCCCCCGCTTTCGACGCGGAGAACACTTTGGAATCGGGAATCGCGGTTCCAAACTGCTGCACACCCGGATGTGTGGGGCACCCACGAGCGAGAACATGTGATGCGCATGAAGCAGTGCAAGCAACGGTACGCTTGCCACCCGCACGGCCCACCGGTTTTCGACTGGCGACGGCAGGCTTCGTCCGCTCGTTCGTTCCTGCTCCCCCTTCAGGGTCGGCGGAACCAGCCGCAAAACCTCTCCAACCAGAACTTCGATGACCTCCCGCGCGAAGACGCACACCGAGATCGGGGTGCATCCGCACCGGCCCAGGCTCCAGAGGTGAAAGCTTGAACCCTCACGGCAGGCCCAGCTTGGGAACCCCTGGGCAGACATGATGAGGCGTTCCCTCGCGCCTGCTCGTCTTCCGATGGGCCTCGGAGGCCTCGGGATCCCACGTGCGCCCCCCTGGCCTGGAGGCCCTCGGGGACGTGCTGACCCCGGGCCAGCACGAAGCCTGGGTCGGCCGATTCCACGTCGCGAGCCCCGGTCGGCCGCGGAGCAGATCCCAAGCCCGGGGCCAGCGGAAGTTTGGACTGCAGGGCCGACGAGGCATGAATCATGAAGCCTGTCGGCCGAAGATCGGCGGCAGGCTCGGGGGGGGGGGGGGAAGTACGAGGGGCAGGCCATCTCAGAAGACAGCAGTAGAAGCCCTCTGGCCTTCTGAGAAGCCGTGTCTGCTTTCGGAGAGGGCTTATAGAAAACTTCTCGGAGGCGCGAGAGGGCCTCTGAGGAGCCCCCCAGGCTTCTGGGAAGGCCTGCCCCCTCCTCACTTCCCCACCAAGGGCTCCCAACTTCGCGCTTCGCGCTGCGCGAAGCGCGAAGTGCGAATAAACTTCGCGCTCTCTCGCGCCGCCTCCCAGGGAAAAAGGGGAGGATGAGGAGGAATCGGAGCCGAACCGCGAAGCGCGAAGCGCGAATAACTTCGCGCACTCGAAGGCGCCCTTGCCCACTGTGCTCGCCGCCGCATCATGAGGCATGCCAGCTGAAGATGCACGCAACCAAGTACGCAACCAGACAAAATATTCCGGGACAGCTAGAGGAAAGAGAACTATGCACATACACCGATTCTGGCCAGGCCCGTCCTGAGCCCAGGATCGGTGCATACGCCCTCCTGCCTTGGCCAGGAAGGCCTATGCACCGATCCTGGGTCAAGGATGGGCCTTGCCAGGATCGGTGCATGTGCATAGTTCTCTTCGCCCGAACAGCGTGAGATATTCGGCTATGGACCCCAGGTGTTCTGGAAGACGGGGGTCCCCAGGGGGGTCCCACCTGTGGTGGGGCCGGGAAGCTGGTCCCAGGTCAGGAAACAGCGCCCCCGGGGTCCAGGCGGGTCCCGGGGGGGAACGCCAGCGGGGGTCCCCGGGGAGGTCCCGCCTTCAGGGTCGGCGGCACAGCCCGTAAGGCCTTCACAATTCTCTGGGACAGCGAGAGATACTCGGCTACGGGCGCCGAGACAGCCAGGAAAGCACACGCCGCATACAGTCGGACCTAGGCCAGAAAAACATCCTTCAAGAACATGAGACCCTCCGCTGGCCAAAGCGTGTGCGAGGGGCTTGGCTGTTCGAGTCGTCGTCTCCGTCGGTCGTCGCCTCCGTCGCCCCATCCATTTCCCTGCAGCTTCCTTCTCAAGCTCGTGAACGAGAGAAAAATCTAGCAGTGTCGTAATCGAGTCGAAGGGAAGCCCCTTCCCTTCGATCCCTTCCCCGAGGGAGGGGGTCCCGGGGGGGGTCCCGGGGGCGGTCCCGGGGGGGGGGGGGGGCAGATTCGTTTTCCCTCGGGCGGCCTCGACGCCTCGAAAACACTCCAAATGAGGTCCGAATGCCCAGAATGGCCCCCGAGACGGCCCAGGAGGGCCCCGAGTCGCCCACAGATCGGCCGAAAACGCTCACGATAGCCCCAAGACCGTCCAAGAAGCCTCCAAGACGTCCCAGGCCCCCTCCAAGAGACCCCCAGGAAGCCCCAAGAGGCCCCCAACGAGGCTTCCAAGCGGTCCCTGAGAGCTTCCCAAGAGGCCCACAAACTACTCCCAAGAGGCCCCCAAGAGCGCTCGTCGTCGTCGTCGTCGTCGCCATTCAGGGTCGGCGGCACCGGCCGTAAGGCCTTCGCAATAAAGAGCATTCGAGGGTACCCCATCCCCAGGATGCACAACAGCACCCAACAACACACAAAGAACACTAGGGTCCCTCCCCAGAGACAGCCAGGAAGGCACACGCCGCACACAAGGGCTCGCGCACGACCCGACGGCAGATGTGCGGAGGGGCGGGGTCGGCTTCGCATGGCTCTCAGGCTCGGGCCAGCCAGCAGAAGCCTCTCAGATGGGGTCCGATTAGACGGGGCCAGAGGATCGCGCCGCAGCGCCAGAGCATCGGCGATACATCGGCGACATCGGCGATGCGTCGGGGGCGAGGCGCGATCCTCCATCCCCACCTACTCGGACCCTATTGGGGAGGCCTACAGCCTTGTTAGCACTTGGCCGTTGTTACGACCCTTGTTAGCACTGTCCCTTGTTAGCACTCGACTGACCCTTGTTAGCACTTGACCCCGTTACGTTAACTGACCCTTGAGAAACTAGATTGACTGACCCTCTTGTAGCACTTGACCCCCGTTAAGTGCGCCCCGAGGCCCTCCAAATGGCTTTCGGGCAACATCGCGGGCGTCACGCGGCCGCTCGGCACGGTCCCAGCCTCCCCCGAATGATCTCGACGAGGCGCAGCCGATGGAAACCACCCCAGGCCACGAAAACCTCCGAAAACTTCCGAAAGCCTCCGAGATCCGCGGAGAAATCCATCCCCGGACCCTTCCCAGGGTCCATCTTGACCTCTCTCGAGGTGGATCCAGCTGCGGCGACGAAAGCCGCCAGGAGTCTTGAGAAGGCAGGGCCTGCTGTCTCGACTGGCCTCGGACACGCACCGACCTGGGTGAACACGAGAGTCGGCCAGGACCCTGTCGAGAAGCCCAGCTGGCCGCTCAGGGGCTCCCCAATCCAGGCCAGCGGAGGGCGGGAAGGGGGAATCAGCCCCACGTGGCTCTGAAAACCTGGGTCGGCCAGAGGGGATTGGCTGACCCCGTCAGCGCTGACCCCCACCACGTGAGCCCCCGCCCTCTCGCGACAGAACCACGGGGCGTTCGGCCCAGCGGAGCTCCACTGGCCGGCCCCACCTGCGAGCGCTGCCGGGCGGCTGCGCGACGGCCTCCCGAGCACCGGAGAGGGAGGCTTCTGGGCAGGGGGCAGGGCGAGGCCGAGGGGGAAAGGGGAGGAGGGGACGAGGAAGGAGCGACGGCAAAGGCGAGAGACAGGCAGAAGGAAAACGAGAGAGAAAGAGAGAGAGAGAGAGAGAGTGGAGGAGACGAGCGAAAAAACGAGGGAGGAGACGAGGGAGGGAAATGGGCACGGAGAGGGAGGAGGAGCAAGCTGGGTGCGTTCGCGTCATGTGTGACATCCTGCCCCTCCCACCCATCCCCCTTCCCATAGCCTTGTATTTTATCATACCGCCGACGGGTGACAAAGCAGAGCCGGGGACGAGGAGGAGGAGGAGGAGGAAGAGGAGGAGGAGGAGGAACAGATGGCACATGACCTGTAAGATAAAGATGAGGAAGGGGAGGATGAAGGAAAAGGACGAAGGAAAAAACACAACAGAAGGAGTTGGAATGGGAGGGACGAGAGGAGCAAGAGGACCTGGGGGAGCTGGAGGAGGCGAAAGGAGCGGGGAGGCATCGATAAGAAACGACTCGGATCCAGAAAAATAGCCGCGCTGGGACAACAGCGCCATTCTGAACAACGGGGATACAAACCCGATCGTAAAATGAGGCCCACCCCAAAGCGGGAGCACCATTTCGAAACACCAGAAACGCTCGGATTGCGAACAAATCCGCCGATCCTGTCGGCGCATGGACGAGACTGTTCCGTTTGAGTCGTCTTCGTCAGAGTCGTCGTCGTCGTCGCCGTCGCCGTCGCCGCCCCCTCTTTCCCTGGGCCCGTCGCCGCCCTCCCGTTTTTCCTGGGCCCTCTTCCTCGAGCGCGCCAGGCAAAACGAAATGGAATAACGTCGCAGTTGAATATCAGGAAAGCCCGTTCCCTATGACCCCTTCCCCGCCAGGGGGAATGCAAAGCGAGGGCCAGGAGCTCCAGGAGGTAGCAAGCTGAGACGCGCTTCTTAAGATGGCGTCGTAGACGTATCACGGCATCCCATGGCTTATCCTTTCTCGATGGGCAGGACGAAAAAAAACAACAGAAAACACATGAGAGATGGTGGTGGATCATCGGGGATGCAGCCTCTGTCCGACGATCAGATCCAATAGTACCTCGCAGACGCGAGACAATCAAATAGGGCAGCGCTGCCTCGAGCCAGGTAGCGCCGGACGCAGGCACGACGTTCGTTACTCTTGTCCCCCCTTTTTAACCTCCTTCGAAGTCAGGAGGGGAAGAGCCGAGCGTCGAGCCATGTCCAAGTGCACAATACAACAAGTAAAGAACTCAGATCGGGCAACCGTTGTTCGAAAACCCTTCCAGCACAGTCAAGAAAAGAAGAGGGCAACATAGAGCATTAGGATCGGTCATGGGCAAAACCACATGACCAACCGCAGATCACTGAGAGGACGTCTGATCAAACTGTCAGACGTCGAAGAGCGCGGCGAAGTAGAAAGATGCCTGACCATACTGTCAGGCATCAAAGCTTATACCACTTTACCTCGTACGTGAAAGACTGGAACCCTTCCATTACTCGCAGTAGTAGCTCACGATCAAGACAGCCCTTGGCACGACCGTCGGCTGTCGCGATCCGCGCGTCACACCATTACACGCTGTGGGCGGCGCCATCGATCCATCATTTGTCGAATCCAATTGGTATGTCCTAGCAAGGTACATCCGGTCGGTTTCTTCAGGTGCTTACATCATGGGGACTTGAAGACCGACCCAGCACCTATGGCGAGGATGGCATTTCTGTTTAGACCGCCGCATCTCTCAGATGTTCTGGCGCTGCGTCGGCGTCAGCGGTCGAGCCTCGAGCTCGCGCCGAGTGCAACGTCACAAAGGCAGGGCAGCAGACTTCCCAGTTACGAGCTGCTGCTAAGGATCCCGCTGAGTAGCTAGAGCGCACCTGCAAGCGGTGCGACTTGCTGCGCGCGTCGATCGGGCGCACTACTGCCATACCTATAGGCGCGCGCCCGCGCAGGAACAGGTCGGCCCCTCGGACGCCACACCCCTGAACTTCATCATCGGCCTCGCCGTTGAGGCGACGACAACCAGAATCGCCGCGCAGGTCCACTTCTCCTGTCGGAGCCAGAAGTTGTTGTCATGTTTATTGGAACCTGTTGCAGTTTGCGCGCCACGGCGATGGGTGCTCGCATTTGTAGGTTGGCGGTTTCTTGGGCACGTTTTCAACAAAGCCACATATGCCATCGACCACGCCTGCGTGATAAATGCATATGCTAACGCACCACGTAGGCTGATGAACATGTCAGATGTGGCGTTCCTCTGCTCTTCCTCTGCTTCATCGCCAATGAGTCCCAGGTGCTGCACGGGGCGAAAATGTTTGAGATTCCCCGAGCAGAGCTTGCCTCTGTAAAAGCCCTAGCAGATTCATATGGTTAGGTGCGGTGTGCCGCCGATTTCGGCGGCGGACCCGGGCGCCCGGGTGCCCGGGTGCCCAGCGGCCCCCGGAGGTGCCCGGGGGTGCCCGTGCCCAGGAACGCCCGGAGGTTCACCGGGGTGCCCGGGCGCCCGCTCGGGTGCTCCATCGCCCCCTTGCCCTATAGCCACATAGCCCTATAGCCGGATAACTCTATAGCCCTATAGCCCTATAGCCCTATAGCCCCATAACCCCATAGCCTTATAGCCCTACAGCTCTATAACTCTATAGCCCAAAAGCCCAATGGCCAATAAAACCCTTTAGCCCTGCAGCCCGATAGCCCTATAGCCCTGTACCCCATACAGCCCTAAAAAGATTGCGATTGGGGGTTTTCCCCGGCATCACACGCACCCTGATCTAGTTGGGCGCGGCCGCCATCGGTCTCGGCGCGGCGCGCGGCGCAATCAGTGTAGATTTTTTGCTGGGCTTGCATGCGCCGCGCATGCTCTCCGCGCGCTCGACGCAACTGTCAATCGCGCCCTCCACGCCTAAACTATTCATGTCGTCAACGCGCTTGGCTGCTAGGAGGTTCGGGCTCGTCTCGAACTCCTCATCGCGCGAGGTGGGTTTAAGCCGAGAACCTCTCGTGATGGTCCTGAGTCCACGTGAGACTGCACTAGGTGCATCCCCAGCGCCTGCGCGTGGCCTCAAGCACTGCAAGCGCCGCTTGGACATCGCCTTGAGACACGAAGCCCGGCAACGCACGCAAAGCCGATGCTGAACCAAGCGGAAGAGAGAGCAAAGCGGACCACGCGCTCCTTCTCTCCAGTGGCCTCGGCCAACTCATGATGGACGCCATGACCCACGACTTCTCGCGCGAACGCTCGCCGGCAATCTCTGGCTTGCTCGGCGAGCTGTGCCTCAGCAGGCTTCTACATGCAAGCCTTCGTCGACATCCACGAAGCCGAGAAAGACCAGGCGAAGTCGGTGGTTCGTCCCCTCTCGCCTTGTTCATTGTTCACGAATTTCCACGCGCAGACAAGCATGTCATAATGCTAGCGGCATTTTAAGATCCTGCATCTGGACGCAGTTGTTGCAACACCATATTTTAATTCTGCGTACAGGGATGTGGATATATTGGACGTATTCGCCTGTGTTCCAGCCTCCGCCAGGTCGTCTTCCTCGACGACCGCAGCTCTTGTCGGCGGCTGATGCGTATACGCACACGGTGGTTATCTGACATGTGTGAAATGAATTGCGCTGCTGCTGCGCCAAATCAACTTCGGCCATGCCAGGAGCGAAGCACAGCTCGACAATGTTCGTCCGAATCTAGGTCGCATGCTTCGTCAAATTCGGCAATGCAAAATATTAGGAGCGTCTCGCTAGCATCATCGCGACGATCGCAGCCAACTGCATGCCAGCGTCCTTGCTCTTCCCTGGCCACAGTCACGGCCGCGGGGTTTTCGACGAGCATTTCTGTTCGCACTGAATATAAGGGTCCTAATGGAGTCGTCTCCTTCTCTTCCTGGCATTCGATGCACCACGTTTCCCTGACATGTGCTTCTAAGTCCATCGCCGACTCCTTATTGGGAGCCGGGGGCCTACCATCGAGGGCGGCTGGAGCTGGGGGTTGCTCTTCCTCCTGAGCGTGGCGGCCCAATGCTGGCGCGTCCGCCAGTTCCTCAAACTTAGCCAGGTGTCCGTCGAAGCCTGCTCAAGGTTCTCAGGATTTGAAGCTTGGATGATACGTGCATGCGTAGATCAAATGATGCCAGAGATGCCCAAGGGCTGTTTTTCGGGTTCGTAATGGTGGAATCATGGTGTGACGTCGTTGTCATGATATACCAAGATACAACTTAACCGTCACCAAGTGGCGCCGCAGGGAACCCGCGGATGCTCTTGGCCAGGCGCAGCGCGATACGCATGCTATTCGGAAGTAGTTTCTGATAAGAAACTGCGAGGCTAAGTGCACTTCAGGCGAGAGCCTGGTCGCCGTTGCCATCCACAAGTTTCCTCGCCCGGCCAGCAGGCGGCCGAATACCATCGCAAGTCCATCTGAAGGTGGGCTCGCGACGACGGCCTGCACAGCGCGCATGGCCGCGGCATGGGAGCTGATCTCGCGAATCAAAAATACTTCCAGGCACAGCGCACAACGCAAGTCGCGATACTGCACGATGACTGCGCAGCCGCCGACCTGAACTACAGCCTTACCTCGGTCAGGGCAATTGCGAGCGATGGGGCCTGGGCCGTTTCATCCACCCCAGTCGCCCCCGCGCGGTGGTCGGGCGGCGATAATCCACGAAGTCACCGGGCTGACAGTTGCGGTGTCCTGCTGCTGTTGTCGTGGTACGTAGGGCTCGGCTAGCTTCGGTTGCCGCTGAGACCTGCGTGCTGGCCTCGAAGCTTACCTCCCTGATTATTATTCGCCCCCGGCTGCGGTCGGCCGTTTCCGCCCTTTGCTCGCGGCCCAGCACCGGCCGGTCTGGGAGACATGCCCGTCGTCGGCCATGCAGCGCCTGACATGGCGACACACCGTTGTAGGACGTTAGCGCGTTACAGACGAAGCGACCTATGTGCAGTAGGCGCGGGAAAACTAGTGGAATGCTGAGACGTCTGAATTCTTC